GGAGAGTCGAGAAAGACAAAGAAACACACGAATATAAACGTGTTATTGATCAACTTCGCCTTGAGAACGGGAAACTTCAAAGCGATTTTGAAAGGGTTTGATTTAAATTTTTTTAATTTATTTAATTTTAAATTTTTTAAAGGTGAATTCTAATTGCAAAAAATCAGTTGTATGTTTTTATAAAATTTTGGAATATTTTTCGACTTTTTTAGGACATTTTCGAACAAGAGAAGCTTCGTCTTCAAGATGAAATTAACACTTATATGACAAGAGACAAGGAACATTTGGAAAAGCAGGCGTCTCTTTATGATGAAATTCAAGAGCTTCTAAAGCGAATTGAATTTATGGAACGTTTGCAGCACACTATTGCTTCCCCATCTTCAAACGTTTCTGAAACAATGTCAACATTCTCACCAATCACGTATATTTTTTCTGATTTTTTGGGATTAATTTTGTTTTTAAATTTTTCTAGACGTCTTTCAACTACCGGAATCGAAGCTTCAACTCAACAACATACCGAACGTAAAAATGCAATTATTGGTTATATGCGGACAGATAAGCAAAAAGAGACAGAATTGCGTATGTCTGCTGAATTAGAATTGCAACAAATCCGTGCCAAATCTACCGTTGATCAACAAAAGATTTTACAATTGGAATCAGAAATTGCTAAATTAACCAATGAAGTTGAACTAAATGCAAAAACTGAACAATGTAGAGTTGAGAAAGACAAGGAAATACTCGAATATAAACTTGTTATTGATCAGCTTCGTCTTGAAAATGAAAAACTTCAAAGCGATTTTGAAAAGGTTTGATTTAATTTTTTTAAATTTAAATATTCTTTTTAAAGGTGAATTCTAATTGTACTAAATTCTCCGAAAATAATTTGAGATTGACTACTGATTTGGCTGAAGAAATCTCGAAGAGTGAAAAATTGACTCAACATCTTGCAACTTTAGAGAAGGATTGTCAAGATAAGTGTGAAGAGTTCCAAAAATCGATTGTATGTTTTTATAAAATTTGTAAAATATTTTTTCTATATAGCTTAAGAAAGATAATTGTGCATCTCCAAACACCTTATCTTCAATTATTAATTACTGGAGAAAAGAAAGAGCAAATGAAAACTTAATCCGTATTGAGGTTGAATATTCATTAAAGAAGTATCGAGAAAGATGTATAATTGCTGAAGATAAAATTATGAAATTAGAATCAGAAATTGCTAAATTAACCAATGAAGTTGAAATTAATGCAAAAATTGATGTTGAAAAAGAAGAATTGTTAACTCAATTAAATTCTTTAAGGGAAGTTCAAAATCATTATCAACAAATTAAAAAATCGTTTGACGAATTAAATGAACGTTTTACTTCAACAAATGTGCTGGCACAAGGATTGGAAGTAGAGCAAGCAAAATTGCTTGCAGAGAAGACTGAATTGAATAAAAAATTGGAAAATGCTACAAAATTGTCTAAAGGTAGAGCACAACAAATTAAATTGTTAAAAGAACGTCATGATCGGGCAATGGCTATGGCTAGCAAATATTCGCCTGAAATTGTTAATTCTCTTCAGTATGATTTTTATAAAAGTTTAAAAATTTTACTAAATTTATTTAAAAGGGGCGATATTGAAAAATTAAAATTGGATATGTCTCAAAAAGAGGATGATTTTGGAATTTTGAGGAGAGAATGTGATCGGCTCACTGAAGAACTTAAAAAAACTAAGTTTGTTTATAAAATTTTTTTAATTCTAAAGGAGTAGATCGATGATTTTGATGGGGGATGTTGTTATCTAGGGTTCCTTTTGGATTTTGTGTTTGATTTTTATACATAAATATTGTCAAGGTTAATAAAAAAAATTCTTTTTAGGGATGAACATAACACACTTAATGCAGAATATACCAAAGCTGTTGCAACGCATAAAGCAACACATGAAAGTCTTCTTATGGTCAAACATGTTGCTAGAAAAATTCGTGAAGAAAAAATTAAACTTTCCGCAGAAAATGTAAAACTTCAGGTTTTAGTTTTAATCTATTTCCAAATAGTGGGAATTTTCTGGGCTTTTTTCGATCGATGAAAATTTTCCCCTCCCTTTAAACATTTTATTTAATTTGGTAATACTGAAGCATACAGACCCTATTTTTTTCTCCCCAATTCACCCCCCCCATATTTTTACAAAATGGTCAGACTTTTCCTTTCTTCCAGCATTTGCCTTTCTAATTTTTTATTTCTTAGGACGAACTTATGGTTGTTCAAGACCAATTGGTAAAGACTCGAAATTCTGTTGCTGCTGTCGCTGTAAGCTCTTCAAATGTCGAAGCTGTTTCAACTATACAAGCTGAGAGGAAGGAATATCAATCAAAAATTGAGGAATTGACAAAGAAAATTGAGGTTTTTTTTGACTAGAATTAAAAAGATTTCTTGTTTTAAAGGCGTCTACTCAACAAATTAAAGAATTAGAAGCTCAAAGGGACGAATTATTGATAAAAATTGAAATGATTGAAAAAGCTTATAAAAGCAGTCAAGAGAAGATTCGACAAATGGGAAGTGAAATTAAGAAATTGAAGGAAGAAAATGAGCAATTGAGTAAATTTGGTAAGAAAATAATAAGATAAACCTCAATACCTCACCTCGTCAGACCTCATACATACTTGGGATCGAAAAATTTAATCTTTAATGAGTTTCCTAAATATAGGGGCATCGTTTAGTCCATTCCGGAAAGTTTTCAACTCCCAATTGAAAATTTGGCTGTACTTTAGCCGGTGGCCCACTCAGAAACGGGTCAAAAAATTTCATAAAAACATTTCTTAAATTGAGGTATATCTGGTAATGATTATATATTATGAAGTGGTCTGATTGGGGCATTTTTTTGAATATTTTATAAAAAAAATTATTTTTAAGAAGCAAGTGAAATTGGTGAAGGAATAATTGACATTGACGACATTCCTGTTGCAGCAGCTACTGAACCAGCTTCTTCAACAGATCCTCCTGTCAAAACTGTTCCTGTTGAACAACAACAACAAGTTGAGCAACAAGCTTCTGCTGAATTTCCTATTCAAACAGGAACTGGTGGTTTGAATGAAAATTTTGTGGAGGTTAGGTTAAAAATTTTTTGATAATAAAATTTTTTATTTTTTTAGGAAAAGAAGAAACCAAGGAACAAAGGAAAGGTCTGTAAAAATAATTAATTGAAAATAAAGGGAAATTAGTTATTTTTGGGTATGTGGGGTCCCAGGGGGTAAGGATGGGCCCAGATCTGGGATGGGTCTCGGGACCCAGACTAGAGATGGGGGAAGGGCTCCCGGGGGGTAAGGATGGGTCCAGATCTGGGATGGGTCTCGGGATCCAGACTAGAGATTGACCCAGACTTTTGGGGGTCCCAGGGGGTAAGGATGGGCCCAGATCTGGGATGGGTCTCGGGACCCAGACTAGAGATGGGGGAAGGGCTCCCGGGGGGTAAGGATGGGTCCAGATCTGGGATGGGTCTCGGGACCCAGACTAGAGATTGACCCAGACTTTTGGGGGTCCCAGGGGGTAAGGATGGGCCCAGATCTGGGATGGGTCTCGGGACCCAGACTAGAGATGGGGGAAGGGCTCCCGGGGGGTAAGGATGGGTCCAGATCTGGGATGGGTCTCGGGACCCAGACTAGAGATTGACCCAGACTTTTGGGGGTCCCAGGGGGTAAGGATGGGCCCAGATCTGGGATGGGTCTCGGGACCCAGACTAGAGATGGGGGAAGGGCTCCCGGGGGGTAAGGATGGGTCCAGATCTGGGATGGGTCTCGGGACCCAGACTAGAGATGGACCCAGACTTTTTGGACCTGAGGGGGGGTCTAAGAAAAATTTTAAGTTAAAGAAAAATTTTAAATTTTGTTTGGCACTACTACAGATAGTATGGTTTTGTATATTTTTATATTGTTTTCTTTTTTATTTGAATATGTTGAAATATTTGAATAAAGAAGAAAACAATATAAAAATATACATAACCATCCTATCTGTAGTAGTGCCCTTTTATTATTTCCAGAGCACGGGATGTTCGAGAAAAAAGAACAAGAAATTGAAAGAGAAGCAAAACATTTTTAAAAAAATTTAATTTTTAAATTTATTTTGAAATTATTTTTTAAATTTTCTTTTTAAATTAAATTTAAACATTTTACTTTTAAAATTTTTTTAAGTTAGGGAAAAAAATGTCGTAATTCGTAATTTATAAAAAATATTTAAATTAATTCAAAAAATCATATTTATTAATAATTGATGCTGTGTCTATTAATCACTCCAAGTCCTCCGATATCCTCCCTAGAAGATTCATGACTAAATTAAAATTTTTACAAGTTTAAAATATTAAAAAAAATATATTTAAAATCAATGTTTAAAATTTTTATTTTTGAAAAATATTGTCTAGAGTTCAATTCCCAATTATTGTTCCGAACCAAGCCTTACAAAATATCAAAGTGAATGAGACCTACTACTAAACCACTCAACCATCGATCAACATAAATAAACGTGAGACAAAATATAAATATTTCTTTCCCCTTCCTTCAAAAATTTAATAGTAAAGTATGAGAGGATTTTTTATTTTTTGTTTTAGTAATTCGTAATTTTTATTTTTTATTTGCGTAATTCGTAATTATGACGCAACCTACTATCAACACCTAAAAAAGAAAATTACCCCTAAAAATATCTTCTATTATTTTTAACTAGGGTTTTTCATATTCTAAAAAATTTTTTACTTTTCTTTATTTATTTAAATTAAATATTGTTAAATTATTCAAAATTAATTAAATCCTTCCAAAAATTATAATTAGACAAATATTGTAAAGGTAAATATAGTACTAAATAAATGGCTAAAAAATAAGTGAGTTTAGGTTTAAAATATAGGGGAAAATAAATACCATTAAAAAGAGGAGCGTTTAGGAGGAGTAAAATTAAGGAGCATTCTTTAATAACTAAAAAAGAGGAGCATTTAGGAGGAGTAAAATTAAGGAGTGCATGATTTAATAGCTAAAGAAGAGGAGCATTTGGGAGGAGTAAAAATAAGAGGAGCATTAAAAATTAATAATAAAAAAAACATTAAAAACGTGTAATTCTTCGAAATGAACTCTGATTTCTGCAAATTGCACACGTTATCGGTTGTACTGATTGCCCTGGAATAGCATGCAGAATACTGTTTCGGTGGTCAGTCATCGCTTTCTCCGTGCACCAGAAACAGAAGGTGACGTGACCACACAGATGAAGAGTTACGGGTGGACGCTCCATACACGCTACACATAAATCTTCTTTACGCAATTTAAAATTTTTCGGGAATCGGCGGACGTTATAGAGTTGTTGATTATTGTTCTGTTGTTGTTGTTGCTCTTGCTGAGGCATATTTCCTCCCTGTTCATTAAGAGGAGCTCCTCCATGATTAACCGTCAATCCACAATAATGCACAAGCTTCCTGCAACTGCTCTTAATACAATTAAGCAGTTGCTTCTGGTCCACTAAAATTTAATAAAAAATCTTTAAAAAATTAATAAATAATATCTCACATTCTTTATGAAATTGCCGCTTTTGTCGTTCTGTCTCGACGAATAAATTAACTCTTTCATGCCATTTCACATCAACAATGGGTGAAAGGCTAATTGGTGAACGAGAGCGATCAGCGGAGTGGTGTCTCTTCCTTGATCGCTTTTCCCTCTTGATAGGGCTAGGGACTCTAGCTCTCCTGGTGGTATTGTTGTTCATTTATTTTTTAAAATTATAAGAAAAAATTTTATTTTTGGGAGATGGAAAAAATGTGTTTAGGGGAGATTAAAATAGATATGTTCATCCTAGTATATGCAGATCTGGGCGTTTATTCAAAATTGCCAAAAAATCCACGCCTCATTACAATCAAATTTATCTCTCAAAGCTTTATTTAGTTTAAACTTGTTTAAATTTTTGTTTTCATCATTTCGGCTAACAGAAAAGCAGAGAGAGGACATCTTACAGAACATTCAAGGATTACCAGAAACATTATGTAATCTAAATGAACGAGAGGAGGAACAGGACAAAAACATCATCTTAAAACTATTTTTTGAATAGTTTATTTATTATAAATTCAAATTTATTGTTTTTATCTCAATATTTCACATAACAAAGTAAGGCAAGGAGGACATCCTAAATTTCTGAGAAGAGTAAACGGATTAATAATAAAAAAAGATTATGTAATAACAAATGAGAGAGGAGACGAGCAGAAGAAAAACATCACTACAAGAATATTTTTAAATTTATGTTTTAGCCTAAATTGATGTTTCGAAATTTATAGATTAAGGGGCTATCTTATAAATTTTTAATATCATATGTTGATTAATTATAAATTAGGTCAAGATCCGAGTATTTAAAGAGCCAAATCTCACAAAATTTTTCATTCTATCTAAAATGAGCTCTAATAAAGTAATCGATGAATGCTCTCAAATACTAGGGTGCTCTGCTAAATCGTTAAGAGATCAGCTTAACCACCCTGATAATCGTATATTTTTATTAAAAGAGCTTCTTGACCGTAAAGTCCAGACCACTTATGAGGACCAAAATGGGTTTAAAAAAACTTTTACGATTAACGGTCTCTCAAGGAAAGGAGCTAATTCACTTAGAGCATATGGGAGATTACGTCATCCTTATAACGTGAGCGTAGCAGCTCACTTTTATGCACGTCATCGGATTCGCCTGCGTTATCCATATCTTCAGTGTATTGTTCAAAGATTTCCATTTGGAGGTGAGGATAGATTTTATCCTTTGGAATTGTTGGAATTTGTTAAAGAGAAGGAGGAGGAGGAAATGAAAATTAACAAGTGGATGCATCGTCTCCCCTCTGATATTTCATGCAAACTCAAAATATCAGAAGAGCAGAAGAGCCCTACAATTCTTATGAAAAAAGATGAGGATGCTGAAGTTTACAATTTTGAACTTAGCCAATGGTGAGGAGCATTTTTTAAACAAAAAGTAAAAATTTTTTAATTTTATTTTCTAGATATGCACTTTTCCTTATAAATATATATGATATAATTTTGTTAACTTAAAATTGTTAAATATGCACAATTACCCCTAAATTTGGTTACTCCTTTAATCTAATTTTGCTTTGTCATCTTCTCTTTATTAATTGTGCAGTTTTTCTCCTAAAATCGATAACTCTCAATTATTAATATTGCAAACAATTTATGTAAAATTTTTATTCAAAAAATAAATAAATTATAAAAACAATTGTAAATTATGGTGGAGAAATTCTTGGGTGTCGATTATTAGTATATCCGAAATTAAGTACAACAAAATCAGAGGGTCGGATTACTCCTTTGCTAACAACTGGCTTATACATTTTATAAAGGGGTTGAGAAGTAACACAACCATCTTTAATCGATGGTCGCAAAAAATTTGGGTATAAAATATTAATAGGGTCCAAATCACCTGTTGTAGCATAAGAAATTACATGTTCTTTAAAAGTTTCATATTGTAAACCTTGATTAGTGAGGACGTCCCAGTTAAGCGTCATTCCTCTCACTTTGAGGACGTAATCATAGTTTGCTTCATGTTGACCCTTCTTTTGTAGTTTAAGTCCGTACTGCTTTGCTCCTCCGCAACAGTACTCCAAAATTTCGTGAGAGGGATATTCATCTGTAAATTCCCCCAAATGAGGTCCCAAGTCGAGGGGACAATTTTCTACAGGATGTGAAAAAATAAGAGAGTCTGTATCCGTGTAGAGCAATGAACACCCCGGAGTTCGGACTACCTTCTGCATGGCACGGAGCAAGTGGATGCGAGCTGCCGAGGTGGTCCATAAGGAAATGACCACATTTGAGCATGAATGCTCTTCTATCCAATCTTTCTTCTTTACATATGAAATGAGTAAAATACCTGGAACGAGCTCATCTATACTAGATATCTCAATTGATCTGTCATCGTAATACCGGCAAAGCTCGGCAGTGTTGTTAGTAATGGTGCATTGTGAAAGTCCAACATTTCTTAATGAAAATCTCCCCCATAAATTGTTTAACATTAATTTCGCTTGTGTGCGTCTTCCTTTGTTTGCTCCCATTTTATTCCTCTCAATAATGATACCAAATTTCTCTTTGCACTCTTTGATGAAATTTTCCTCCGCTGCAAAATTATCTTTCATAGAGCTGTCAAATCCTGAAGAGTGAATTTTTTCAGACATGAATTCACTGATATATGGTGCAAATAGTTTGTCGTCTGAACTAGTATATTCCAAAACACGAAAGAGCTTGGTTACAATGTAGCCTTCCTCAAGAGCCACATTTAGTTCAATCGAGGTACAAGTACTCACCCATCCTCGTTGCAGGTCTGAGTGCGGACATGAATAATTCTGATTTACACTTCCTTCACGATTTTCGCAGGCACATATTGAACAGAGCGGGAAAAGTAATCTCTCATCGTCAGTTCCTATTTTCATAGGGAGAACAGGAATGTCAATGATCCTAGGAGGAATTACAAATACTTTCAAAATTGCTAATTGAAAAGTATTATCCTCTGGGCGAGTCCAATGAACATCTTTGTTAATTATGTGCACTTTTGGGTGCCCCACTGGATATTTTGTACTCACATTAACAAATGGATAAAGAGAGGTGACATCGTAGTACGAAATCTTTTCACCTTCTCTTGGAGAGTAGAAGAGACACAATGGACCAGTACGACCTCCAAAAAAGCAGGATCTGATGTCTATCGGACCATTGTCCAAATAATTTTTAAATTTATTTCGCATGTCTCTATCTTTATCCAACATTTTTCTTATTTCACACTCCCAGAATATTTTTACTTTTACTCCTTGACTTTTTATGAATTCCAATCTCAACTCATCTTTTTCTCTTTGTTTCCCAGCAGTAAATCCGTTCGGAAGAATAGTGTTATATTCAGGATAACACTTTTCACAGCCGTGCCACACGCATCCGTTGACTTCTATACCTAACTGCTCCTCCTCAATCCAGCCATCAAGTTTGTAGTTCCCGATCTTTTTTTCTCCTCCTTTTGAATATGCTGTCTGTACTCCTACTCCATACTCCTCCTCATACCACTTCAAAAATTTAAGAGCAAGACGACTTTGGTTATCTGCATTATCATAACCTTTTTCTGGGACAATGGCTAAATGGTTCTTCTTTAAATGGTTCGTTCTAAAATGACACATACAAGCTGATGCTATGGTCATTGACTCCTTGAGTATGTCAATACCATTGTGCGCTCTTGTTGATGCTGCTCTTTGACATGGGCCTCTTTTTGTTACATTCATAAATTTTCGTCTAAATGTAATGAGTGCCGCTAGCAATATCTCAACATCATTAGTACAGTATGCAGCTAAAGCTTCATCCAGGAAAAATGGCTCGTCTTTGTTAATTGCAAACCATCGATCGAATTCCTTTCTTTTGTCAGGCATCATACCTTCCGCAAAATAATCAGACGGGACAGGAAAAATTTCTTTCCCATAATTTTCTGGTCTGTTTGCAAGATGGGGAAAGAAAGGCTTTTCCTCAACGTCAAGAGCAAAAGCAGGAACAAGTGATGCCAAAGACATAGGCATCAGATTAAAACTGTCCCGAAAGATGAGCACGCTCTTTTTGCTTACTTTAACCTTCATCTCATACATTTTGTTTCCTCTTCGTAGCATTTCTGGGGTAAATCCAAGGAGAAAGAGCTCTCTAAAAACAATCACCATATCAAACCTTCCTCCGAAATGTGAGAAGGCCATTGTGTCACAACCTTTTGTTGTTTCAATGATCCACTTAACAAAGGAAACTATTGGAGCAGGCCCGACGATTTTGCTGTCAACATCAGTTTTGCTAAATGTGCGCTCGGAGAAAGTAATGAGTCTGCTCTCTCCACATATGTTGCAATCCTCCTCCTCCTCCTCTATACATTTAGGACATGTGATTCTCGCTGCGATAAAATTAGTTTGATGTCTTCTTTTGTTGTTGGCGGATAACACATGCTGCATTGTCTCTAGATCAAAAACTACAATTCTGTAAGGTTTTTGAACTTTAGACTCAATAGGGCTTACAAAACATCCTCTCTTTGGATCGTGGTAGCTATTACAAACTTTACAATATCTCTCATTACATTGATGCCCTTTTCTCCCACCTTTGTTGTTAACTTCTGTGTCCCAGATTATCCCACATTTTTCACAACGTTTGGAACGTTTGCAGAAGTTTGAATTTAAGTGATGATTAAAACAATCTTGATTAATAAATTTCTTAAAGCACCCATCACATTTTTTAAAAAAGTTGTTCCTTGGAGAGCATGGATATAATGGACCAGTTCTGGAACAGTTGAGACAGCGAGATAGGCATTTTATTGAGTGTGCTTGAGGATGCGAGTAAACGGTCTCACAAGACAAACAATATGGTTGTCCAAAAAGTCCTCCTGTACTAGTTACTCCACTGAAGTGCGATCCATCAAAATATAGGAGTATAGGCGAATCAAAATTGTCAGGACCGTATTTAAAACACGGTTTATAATGTCCCAGACTATCAAATACAAAAACTTTAAAAATAAACTGGCCTTCAAATTTTTCATTCCAATAATCTACAACAGGAGGCACCCAATCTTCTGCGTTGTATTCCTCATAACCAAGAGGTGCTCCAACATATTCCATCAGCTCTAAGGTGTCCTTCTCAAAACGACCTCTTGATGCAAAACGACCATGAACATAGTCATAAAACTGGGAGCGTGTAAATATCCCGGTGACACGTATCATTGCTGCTAATAATGAATAAAATAGACAGTAACCATCGTTGTTGTTTATTTTAATAAGACTTTTTTCCTTTATTTGATGATTGCAGACAAAGCTAATTTGTCGAAAAATAATAATATTATTGGAGGAGCTCCGCGAAAATTAGCTCCTCTTCATCATCAAATAAAGGAAAAAAGTCTTATTAAAATAAACAACAACGATGGTTACTGTCTATTTTATTCATTATTAGCAGCAATGATACGTGTCACCGGGATATTTACACGCTCCCAGTTTTATGACTATGTTCATGGTCGTTTTGCATCAAGAGGTCGTTTTGAGAAGGACACCTTAGAGCTGATGGAATATGTTGGAGCACCTCTTGGTTATGAGGAATACAACGCAGAAGATTGGGTGCCTCCTGTTGTAGATTATTGGAATGAAAAATTTGAAGGCCAGTTTATTTTTAAAGTTTTTGTATTTGATAGTCTGGGACATTATAAACCGTGTTTTAAATACGGTCCTGACAATTTTGATTCGCCTATACTCCTATATTTTGATGGATCGCACTTCAGTGGAGTAACTAGTACAGGAGGACTTTTTGGACAACCATATTGTTTGTCTTGTGAGACCGTTTACTCGCATCCTCAAGCACACTCAATAAAATGCCGATCTCGCTGTCTCAACTGTTCCAGAACTGGTCCATTATATCCATGCTCTCCAAGGAACAACTTTTTTAAAAAATGTGATGGGTGCTTTAAGAAATTTATTAATCAAGATTGTTTTAATCATCACTTAAATTCAAACTTCTGCAAACGTTCCAAACGTTGTGAAAAATGTGGGATAATCTGGGACACAGAAGTTAACAACAAAGGTGGGAGAAAAGGGCATCAATGTAATGAGAGATATTGTAAAGTTTGTAATAGCTACCACGATCCAAAGAGAGGATGTTTTGTAAGCCCTATTGAGTCTAAAGTTCAAAAACCTTACAGAATTGTAGTTTTTGATCTAGAGACAATGCAGCATGTGTTATCCGCCAACAACAAAAGAAGACATCAAACTAATTTTATCGCAGCGAGAATCACATGTCCTAAATGTATAGAGGAGGAGGAGGAGGATTGCAACATATGTGGAGAGAGCAGACTCATTACTTTCTCCGAGCGCACATTTAGCAAAACTGATGTTGACAGCAAAATCGTCGGGCCTGCTCCAATAGTTTCCTTTGTTAAGTGGATCATTGAAACAACAAAAGGTTGTGACACAATGGCCTTCTCACATTTCGGAGGAAGGTTTGATATGGTGATTGTTTTTAGAGAGCTCTTTCTCCTTGGATTTACCCCAGAAATGCTACGAAGAGGAAACAAAATGTATGAGATGAAGGTTAAAGTAAGCAAAAAGAGCGTGCTCATCTTTCGGGACAGTTTTAATCTGATGCCTATGTCTTTGGCATCACTTGTTCCTGCTTTTGCTCTTGACGTTGAGGAAAAGCCTTTCTTTCCCCATCTTGCAAACAGACCAGAAAATTATGGGAAAGAAATTTTTCCTGTCCCGTCTGATTATTTTGCGGAAGGTATGATGCCTGACAAAAGAAAGGAATTCGATCGATGGTTTGCAATTAACAAAGACGAGCCATTTTTCCTGGATGAAGCTTTAGCTGCATACTGTACTAATGATGTTGAGATATTGCTAGCGGCACTCATTACATTTAGACGAGAATTTATGAATGTAACAAAAAGAGGCCCATGTCAAAGAGCAGCATCAACAAGAGCGCACAATGGTATTGACATACTCAAGGAGTCAATGACCATAGCATCAGCTTGTATGTGTCATTTTAGAACGAACCATTTAAAGAAGAACCATTTAGCCATTGTCCCAGAAAAAGGTTATGATAATGCAGATAACCAAAGTCGTCTTGCTCTTAAATTTTTGAAGTGGTATGAGGAGGAGTATGGAGTAGGAGTACAGACAGCATATTCAAAAGGAGGAGAAAAAAAGATCGGGAACTACAAACTTGATGGCTGGATTGAGGAGGAGCAGTTAGGTATAGAAGTCAACGGATGCGTGTGGCACGGCTGTGAAAAGTGTTATCCTGAATATAACACTATTCTTCCGAACGGATTTACTGCTGGGAAACAAAGAGAAAAAGATGAGTTGAGATTGGAATTCATAAAAAGTCAAGGAGTAAAAGTAAAAATATTCTGGGAGTGTGAAATAAGAAAAATGTTGGATAAAGATAGAGACATGCGAAATAAATTTAAAAATTATTTGGACAATGGTCCGATAGACATCAGATCCTGCTTTTTTGGAGGTCGTACTGGTCCATTGTGTCTCTTCTACTCTCCAAGAGAAGGTGAAAAGATTTCGTACTACGATGTCACCTCTCTTTATCCATTTGTTAATGTGAGTACAAAATATCCAGTGGGGCACCCAAAAGTGCACATAATTAACAAAGATGTTCATTGGACTCGCCCAGAGGATAATACTTTTCAATTAGCAATTTTGAAAGTATTTGTAATTCCTCCTAGGATCATTGACATTCCTGTTCTCCCTATGAAAATAGGAACTGACGATGAGAGATTACTTTTCCCGCTCTGTTCAATATGTGCCTGCGAAAATCGTGAAGGAAGTGTAAATCAGAATTATTCATGTCCGCACTCAGACCTGCAACGAGGATGGGTGAGTACTTGTACCTCGATTGAACTAAATGTGGCTCTTGAGGAAGGCTACATTGTAACCAAGCTCTTTCGTGTTTTGGAATATACTAGTTCAGACGACAAACTATTTGCACCATATATCAGTGAATTCATGTCTGAAAAAATTCACTCTTCAGGATTTGACAGCTCTATGAAAGATAATTTTGCAGCGGAGGAAAATTTCATCAAAGAGTGCAAAGAGAAATTTGGTATCATTATTGAGAGGAATAAAATGGGAGCAAACAAAGGAAGACGCACACAAGCGAAATTAATGTTAAACAATTTATGGGGGAGATTTTCATTAAGAAATGTTGGACTTTCACAATGCACCATTACTAACAACACTGCCGAGCTTTGCCGGTATTACGATGACAGATCAATTGAGATATCTAGTATAGATGAGCTCGTTCCAGGTATTTTACTCATTTCATATGTAAAGAAGAAAGATTGGATAGAAGAGCATTCATGCTCAAATGTGGTCATTTCCTTATGGACCACCTCGGCAGCTCGCATCCACTTGCTCCGTGCCATGCAGAAGGTAGTCCGAACTCCGGGGTGTTCATTGCTCTACACGGATACAGACTCCCTTATTTTTTCACATCCTGTAGAAAATTGTCCCCTCGACTTGGGACCTCATTTGGGGGAATTTACAGATGAATATCCCTCTCACGAAATTTTGGAGTACTGTTGCGGAGGAGCAAAGCAGTACGGACTTAAACTACAAAAGAAGGGTCAACATGAAGCAAACTATGATTACGTCCTCAAAGTGAGAGGAATGACGCTTAACTGGGACGTCCTCACTAATCAAGGTTTACAATATGAAACTTTTAAAGAACATGTAATTTCTTATGCTACAACAGGTGATTTGGACCCTATTAATATTTTATACCCAAATTTTTTGCGACCATCGATTAAAGATGGTTGTGTTACTTCTCAACCCCTTTATAAAATGTATAAGCCAGTTGTTAGCAAAGGAGTAATCCGACCCTCTGATTTTGTTGTACTTAATTTCGGATATACTAATAATCGACACCCAAGAATTTCTCCACCATAATTTACAATTGTTTTTATAATTTATTTATTTTTTGAATAAAAATTTTACATAAATTGTTTGCAATATTAATAATTGAGAGTTATCGATTTTAGGAGAAAAACTGCACAATTAATAAAGAGAAGATGACAAAGCAAAATTAGATTAAAGGAGTAACCAAATTTAGGGGTAATTGTGCATATTTAACAATTTTAAGTTAACAAAATTATATCATATATATTTATAAGGAAAAGTGCATATCTAGAAAATAAAATTAAAAAATTTTTACTTTTTGTTTAAAAAATGCTCCTCACCATTGGCTAAGTTCAAAATTGTAAACTTCAGCATCCTCATCTTTTTTCATAAGAATTGTAGGGCTCTTCTGCTCTTCTGATATTTTGAGTTTGCATGAAATATCAGAGGGGAGACGATGCATCCACTTGTTAATTTTCATTTCCTCCTCCTCCTTCTCTTTAACAAATTCCAACAATTCCAAAGGATAAAATCTATCCTCACCTCCAAATGGAAATCTTTGAACAATACACTGAAGATATGGATAACGCAGGCGAATCCGATGACGTGCATAAAAGTGAGCTGCTACGCTCACGTTATAAGGATGACGTAATCTCCCATATGCTCTAAGTGAATTAGCTCCTTTCCTTGAGAGACCGTTAATCGTAAAAGTTTTTTTAAACCCATTTTGGTCCTCATAAGTGGTCTGGACTTTACGGTCAAGAAGCTCTTTTAATAAAAATATACGATTATCAGGGTGGTTAAGCTGATCTCTTAACGATTTAGCAGAGCACCCTAGTATTTGAGAGCATTCATCGATTACTTTATTAGAGCTCATTTTAGATAGAATGAAAAATTTTGTGAGATTTGGCTCTTTAAATACTCGGATCTTGACCAGACCTGGGCGAAACTCAAAATTTTTTTCTGACGAAACGAAACGAAACAAAATTTTTTAAAAATCGTTTCGTTAACGAAACGAAACGAAACAACCAAAATCTTACGAAACGAAACGAAACAAAACGAAACATTTTAATATTCAAAAAATTTTCAAAACTGCATTTATTTCGAAATTATTCGACCTCAAATACGTTATTAGTCGACTATGACTTATAAATGATTTAGTTATTGGTTTATTTACAACAATTGTGTCCCATAAGCCAGGCCCGTAGCAAGGAAAATTTTCGGGGAAGGGGGGGGGGTCAATCATTTTCGAAGCCAAATTTTTGGCGACGCTTTTTTTTAAATAAAATTGAATATTTTTCAAGTAAAATTTTATTTTAAGCGCCGCAGACGAAAAATTTTAAAATTTTGAAAGGCCGTAGGCCAAAAAATTCACCATCTTGCTCCATTGCCTACCCAAATTGTCTCCATATCTCCATTTCGAGAGGAAGGCGATATAAGCTAGTGCTTCGCCGGAAGTTCCGGTTCCAGTATTTCCGCAACTCGCAATCCGCAATTTTTAAATTATGATGCGAGTCCGGTAATAGAATTTGACGTCGATTAAGTAATATGTATATGTGGATTAGGGAGTGGAGTATAAACGGATTTGTAGTATATAAGTAATTGCTATCTTCCTTTTTCAGCGCCGCAGGCGAAAATTTTGACAATTTGGGAAAGCCAAGAAGCCGAAATTCTTTTTTTTTCAGCGCCGCAGGCGAAAATTTTTTAAATTTTCAATAAAAGATGGTAAATTTTATAGATTTTGGCCTTAGTTTAGGCTTAAAAAATTGTTTCGTTTCGTTGAAAAATCACAGGTGTTTCGTAACGAAACGAAACGAAACAAATTTAAAAGTGTTTCGTAACGAAACGAGACGAAACAGTAAAAATCATACGAAACATACGAAACAACGAAACGAAACGAAACGTTTCGCCCACGTCTGATCTTGACCTAATTTATAATTAATCAACATATGATATTAAAAATTTATAAGATAGCCCCTTAATCTATAAATTTCGAAACATCAATTTAGGCTAAAACATAAATTTAAAAATATTCTTGTAGTGATGTTTTTCTTCTGCTCGTCTCCTCTCTCATTTGTTATTACATAATCTTTTTTTTATTATTAATCCGTTTACTCTTCTCAGAAATTTAGGATGTCCTCCTTGCCTTACTTTGTTATGTGAAATATTGAGATAAAAACAATAAATTTGAATTTATAATAAATAAACTATTCAAAAAATAGTTTTAAGATGATGTTTTTGTCCTGTTCCTCCTCTCGTTCATTTAGATTACATAATGTTTCTGGTAATCCTTGAATGTTCTGTAAGATGTCCTCTCTCTGCTTTTCTGTTAGCCGAAATGATGAAAACAAAAATTTAAACAAGTTTAAACTAAATAAAGCTTTGAGAGATAAATTTGATTGTAATGAGGCGTGGATTTTTTGGCAATTTTGAATAAACGCCCAGATCTGCATATACTAGGATGAACATATCTATTTTAATCTCCCCTAAACACATTTTTTCCATCTCCCAAAAATAAAATTTTTTCTTATAATTTTAAAAAATAAATGAACAACAATACCACCAGGAGAGCTAGAGCTCCTAGCCCTATCAAGAGGGAAAAGCGATCAAGGAAGAGACACCACTCCGCTGATCGCTCTCGTTCACCAATTAGCCTTTCACCCATTGTTGATGTGAAATGGCATGAAAGAGTTAATTTATTCGTCGAGACAGAACGACAAAAGCGGCAATTTCATAAAGAATGTGAGATATTATTTATTAATTTTTTAAAGATTTTTTATTAAATTTTAGTGGACCAGAAGCAACTGCTTAATTGTATTAAGAGCAGTTGCAGGAAGCTTGTGCATTATTGTGGATTGACGGTTAATCATGGAGGAGCTCCTCTTAATGAACAGGGAGGAAATATGCCTCAGCAAGAGCAACAACAACAACAGAACAATAATCAACAACTCTATAACGTCCGCCGATTCCCGAAAAATTTTAAATTGCGTAAAGAAGATTTATGTGTAGCGTGTATGGAGCGTCCACCCGTAACTCTTCATCTGTGTGGTCACGTCACCTTCTGTTTCTGGTGCACGGAGAAAGCGATGACTGACCACCGAAACAGTATTCTGCATGCTATTCCAGGGCAATCAGTACAACCGATAACGTGTGCAATTTGCAGAAATCAGAGTTCATTTCGAAGAATTACACGTTTTTAATGTTTTTTTATTCCATCTCTAGTCTGGGTCCCGAGACCCATCCCAGATCTGGACCCATCCTTACCCCCCGGGAGCCCTTCCCCCATCTCTAGTCTGGGTCCCGAGACCCATCCCAGATCTGGGCCCATCCTTACCCCCTGGGACCCCCAAAAGTCTGGGTCAATCTCTAGTCTGGGTCCCGAGACCCATCCCAGATCTGGACCCATCCTTACCCCCCGGGAGCCCTTCCCCCATCTCTAGTCTGGGTCCCGAGACCCATCCCAGATCTGGGCCCATCCTTACCCCCTGGGACCCCCAAAAGTCTGGGTCAATCTCTAGTCTGGGTCCCGAGACCCATCCCAGATCTGGACCCATCCTTACCCCCCGGGAGCCCTTCCCCCATCTCTAGTCTGGGTCCCGAGACCCATCCCAGATCTGGGCCCATCCTTACCCCCTGGGACCCCCAAAAGTCTGGGTCAATCTCTAGTCTGGATCCCGAGACCCATCCCAGATCTGGACCCATCCTTACCCCCCGGGAGCCCTTCCCCCATCTCTAGTCTGGGTCCCGAGACCCATCCCAGATCTGGGCCCATCCTTACCCCCTGGGAGCCCTTCCCCCATCTCTAGTCTGGGTCCCGAGACCCATCCCAGATCTGGGCCCATCCTTACCCCCTGGGACCCCACATACCCAAAAATAACTAATTTCCCTTTATTTTCAATTAATTATTTTTACAGACCTTTCCTTTGTTCCTTGGTTTCTTCTTTTCCTAAAAAAATAAAAAATTTTATTATCAAAAAATTTTTAACCTAACCTCCACAAAATTTTCATTCAAACCACCAGTTCCTGTTTGAATAGTAAATTCAGCAGAAGCTTGTTGCTCAACTTGTTGTTGTTGTTCAACAGGAACAGTTTTGACAGGAGGATCTGTTGAAGAAGCTGGTTCAGTAGCTGCTGCAACAGGAATGTCGTCAATGTCAATTATTCCTTCACCAATTTCACTTGCTTCTTAAAAATAATTTTTTTTATAAAATATTCAAAAAAATGCCCCAATCAGACCACTTCATAATATATAATCATTACCAGATATACCTCAATTTAAGAAATGTTTTTATGAAATTTTTTGACCCGTTTCTGAGTGGGCCACCGGCTAAAGTACAGCCAAATTTTCAATTGGGAGTTGAAAACTTTCCGGAATGGACTAAACGATGCCCCTATATTTAGGAAACTCATTAAAGATTAAATTTTTCGATCCCAAGTATGTATGAGGTCTGACGAGGTGAGGTATTGAGGTTTATCTTATTATTTTCTTACCAAATTTACTCAATTGCTCATTTTCTTCCTTCAATTTCTTAATTTCACTTCCCATTTGTCGAATCTTCTCTTGACTGCTTTTATAAGCTTTTTCAATCATTTCAATTTTTATCAATAATTCGTCCCTTTGAGCTTCTAATTCTTTAATTTGTTGAGTAGACGCCTTTAAAACAAGAAATCTTTTTAATTCTAGTCAAAAAAAACCTCAATTTTCTTTGTCAATTCCTCAATTTTTGATTGATATTCCTTCCTCTCAGCTTGTATAGTTGAAACAGCTTCGACATTTGAAGAGCTTACAGCGACAGCAGCAACAGAATTTCGAGTCTTTACCAATTGGTCTTGAACAACCATAAGTTCGTCCTAAGAAATAAAAAATTAGAAAGGCAAATGCTGGAAGAAAGGAAAAGTCTGACCATTTTGTAAAAATATGGGGGGGGGTGAATTGGGGAGAAAAAAATAGGGTCTGTATGCTTCAGTATTACCAAATTAAATAAAATGTTTAAAGGGAGGGGAAAATTTTCATCGATCGAAAAAAGCCCAGAAAATTCCCACTATTTGGAAATAGATTAAAACTAAAACCTGAAGTTTTACATTTTCTGCGGAAAGTTTAATTTTTTCTTCACGAATTTTTCTAGCAACATGTTTGACCATAAGAAGACTTTCATGTGTTGCTTTATGCGTTGCAACAGCTTTGGTATATTCTGCATTAAGTGTGTTATGTTCATCCCTAAAAAGAATTTTTTTTATTAACCTTGACAATATTTATGTATAAAAATCAAACACAAAATCCAAAAGGAACCCTAGATAACAACATCCCCCATCAAAATCATCGATCTACTCCTTTAGAATTAAAAAAATTTTATAAACAAACTTAGTTTTTTTAAGTTCTTCAGTGAGCCGATCACATTCTCTCCTCAAAATTCCAAAATCATCCTCTTTTTGAGACATATCCAATTTTAATTTTTCAATATCGCCCCTTTTAAATAAATTTAGTAAAATTTTTAAACTTTTATAAAAATCATACTGAAGAGAATTAACAATTTCAGGCGAATATTTGCTAGCCATAGCCATTGCCCGATCATGACGTTCTTTTAACAATTTAATTTGTTGTGCTCTACCTTTAGACAATTTTGTAGCATTTTCCAATTTTTTATTCAATTCAGTCTTCTCTGCAAGCAATTTTGCTTGCTCTACTTCCAATCCTTGTGCCAGCACATTTGTTGAAGTAAAACGTTCATTTAATTCGTCAAACGATTTTTTAATTTGTTGATAATGATTTTGAACTTCCCTTAAAGAATTTAATTGAGTTAACAATTCTTCTTTTTCAACATCAATTTTTGCATTAATTTCAACTTCATTGGTTAATTTAGCAATTTCTGATTCTAATTTCATAATTTTATCTTCAGCAATTATACATCTTTCTCGATACTTCTTTAATGAATATTCAACCTCAATACGGATTAAGTTTTCATTTTCTCTTTCTTTTCTCCAGTAATTAATAATTGAAGATAAGGTGTTTGGAGATGCACAATTATCTTTCTTAAACTATATAGAAAAAATATTTTACAAATTTTATAAAAACATACAATCGATTTTTGGAACTCTTCACACTTATCTTGACAATCCTTCTCTAAAGTTGCAAGATGTTGAGTCAATTTTTCACTCTTCGAGATTTCTTCAGCCAAATCAGTAGTCAATCTCAAATTATTTTCGGAGAATTTAGTACAATTAGAATTCACCTTTAAAAAGAATATTTAAATTTAAAAAAATTAAATCAAACCTTTTCAAAATCGCTTTGAAGTTTTTCATTTTCAAGACGAAGCTGATCAATAACAAGTTTATATTCGAGTATTTCCTTGTCTTTCTCAACTCTACATTGTTCAGTTTTTGCATTTAGTTCAACTTCATTGGTTAATTTAGCAATTTCTGATTCCAATTGTAAAATCTTTTGTTGATCAACGGTAGATTTGGCACGGATTTGTTGCAATTCTAATTCAGCAGACATACGCATTTCTGTCTCTTTTTGCTTATCTGTCCGCATATAACCAATAATTGCATTTTTACGTTCGGTATGTTGTTGAGTTGAAGCTTCGATTCCGGTAGTTGAAAGACGTCTAGAAAAATTTAAAAACAAAATTAATCCCAAAAAATCAGAAAAAATATACGTGATTGGTGAGAATGTTGACATTGTTTCAGAAACGTTTGAAGATGGGGAAGCAATAGTGTGCTGCAAACGTTCCATAAATTCAATTCGCTTTAGAAGCTCTTGAATTTCATCATAAAGAGACGCCTGCTTTTCCAAATGTTCCTTGTCTCTTGTCATATAAGTGTTAATTTCATCTTGAAGACGAAGCTTCTCTTGTTCGAAAATGTCCTAAAAAAGTCGAAAAATATTCCAAAATTTTATAAAAACATACAACTGATTTTTTGCAATTAGAATTCACCTTTAAAAAATTTAAAATTAAATAAATTAAAAAAATTTAAATCAAACCCTTTCAAAATCGCTTTGAAGTTTCCCGTTCTCAAGGCGAAGTTGATCAATAACACGTTTATATTCGTGTGTTTCTTTGTCTTTCTCGACTCTCCATTGTTCAGTTTTTGCATTTAATTCATCAAGTTTGTTGTTTGTTTCAGTCAAATTCTTCGTTTGGTTGAGTAATTCCATCTCCTTTATTGAAACAACATTTCTCGAGTCTTCGATTAATAATTTACTAGAAAAATAGGAATTAAACTCATTAAATCAGAAATTTTAAAAAATATACTTTTTATTCATTTCCTCCTCAAGCTGTTCCTTACAATTTTTTAATTTTAGCATAAGTGTCACATTGCTCCTGTTCACAGAAGTTGCGAGCAGACGGAGCCGTTTGAATTTTCTTTTATACTAGAAAAAATTCAAAAGCTTTTAAAATTATTACAAAAAAACTTTAATTGATTTTTTGACAGCTTCAGCTTCCTCCATCTTGACAACTTCAGCTTCCTCCATCTTGACAACTTCAGCTTCCTCCATCTTTCTTTTCTTATTTTTAACAGGTCGTTGAATTTCTCGATCAGCCTCTTCCAAATCAATTTTCTTAAAAAAATAAAAAATTTTTAGAATATTAAAAAAATTTTACATGTATGGTTTTTAAATGTCTATTTCTGTTGAATTTAGTTGAAAAATTTTTATTACACTCTGCGCAATTAAACATTTTGTCCCAATCGGAGTCTGTTTAGTATTCCGAAATTATACCAAAATGTTTAACTAAAAATTAAAAATTAAAAAAAAATTTTTTTAAATAATTGACAAAAATAGAAATAGTTAATGAGATTAAAATTCAATAAAATTACAGTATTATCGCGTTGATAAAAAGGTCGGTTGAGTCCTACCTCCAACTCCACTCCTCCCTCCACTCCTTCAAAATTTTAACCAAAGAAGAGAGAAAAGGAGAGAGAAGAGGTGGGGGAGGATCGGGAAGAGAAGAAAAAGGAGCAGGATGATGCCGCGACATTGATTTTCTCTCACTCCTATAGGTAGCGGCTCTTGAGAGGGAGGTCAGCTTTTACCGCACTAACGTGCGCTAAAGGTTTGAGCTTTGACCAGCCGGTCAAAGGGATTTGACCTTAAGTCAAAACTAATCAAAAGGATTTGACTTTAAAGTCAAAAAGTCGGCCACGACATCACCCTACTATTAACTACTAACATTATTTGCTTTTAGCTTTATAGTTTCAAAATACAAAAAGCACCAAGGAAATAATTGGAATATTTTTAAGGTTAAATGTTCAAATTGTGAAGAAGATAGCTATTTTAGTGATGAAGAGAAAAATGAAATTTATGAATTTGTAAAAGATTTAAGTAAAAATGTTATTGAAAAATGCAAATTTATTGTTGAATGGCGTAATAATTTGTATCGTAAATCGCTAGATTACACGTAAAATAATTAATTTTTATTTTAAATGTTTTAGACACTTGTTTATTATTAATTAGGGTTGGGGGGCCCGGACCGGTCTGAAAGATCGAATCGTGCATCGAATTTTGATTGGCCTGAAAAAGACTCGAAATGAAGTCCATAAAAAATAACTCGAACGTAGGCCCGAACCGAAAACCCTATTATTAATATATGTTAGTTAGTAGGGCGTTTATTCCAGAAAGGTTATTGAGAAATAAAAAATAATCTGATCTCCCCCATAATAGAAATGGTGTTAGGATGAAAACTAATATTTTTTTCTTAAACTTAAGATTAAATTATAAACACAAACCAACAGAATACGAAAATTTAAAAATCAAAATTACTGATCTACTCACTCAATACAAAAACTTTGTTGATGTCATTCCTAGTAACAAGCCTCATGGTGATGTAACACACCAACAATCATTTTCAATAAACAACGGAGAACATTCCAATAGAATTATTCCCGACAAAGAAAGCCACACAAATCCCCAATCAGTTCCTCTTCTTAATCAACATGAAGTTGCTGTTAATAATTTTTTTAAAAATTTGGATGATATAACAGCAAAAACTAAAAAATTTGGAAAAAAACTTGTTGATATTAAAAAATATATGGGAAAGAATAAATTGGTTAAAAATGAATTATACCAAAATAATTTTGCAGAAATAATCGAGGAAAAAATGAAATTTCTTTTAAAAAATTGGGAGAAAATATTTGAGGATATTTTGGGAGATAAAGAAGAAATTAAAGTGATTTTCAAGAATTCTGGACATCAATTTGTTGGGTATTGCCTTTCCCAACGATTTCTTGAAGCATTTAATGAAGATGGAGGAGTTAACATTAAAGCATTCATAGACAACAATTCACTACAAAAATATGCTCAAAAACTTGCTAAAATTGTTAAAAATAATCCTTTTAATATAAAGTAATTATTTGCTTAAAATTAATTTTTTACTTCCAAATTTTTAAAAAATTCTAAAAAAATATTTTTAAGTTTTTATAAATCAACAAAAGAAGTTATCAAGAACTATCTTGATAAAAAATGTGACAACAATTTACCAAATGTTTTAAAAGACTGTCACTCATTCATTGAAAATATTTTTTAAAATTGGAAAGGTTATTGCTCGATTGATATTGAAAATTTGGAATTTGAAAATTTTGAAAAAATTGTTTTAAAAAATGAAAATTAAATATTTTTGATTTTTAAAAGAAGAATTTATGGTTCAAGTATTCAATTATAGTTTATTAATTCAATTAAAATATTTGTCCAACAAAAATTTAAAAGTTATAGTAATGTCTATTCTTCAAATGAATGTTTTAAAATTATTTGGTTATTGTGAAAGGTCAGAAAGCTGTAATGGAATTTAAGAGAGTAATGGAATTTAAAAAAATTCCTTTCAGGTTGTATACATTGTAGCAATAGTAGAACCCATTTATCCCTATTTTCCATTGATATTTGGGATGGGTGGTGGGTCTACTATGATTTTAGCGACTAAACTACTAGAAAGTTGGATACATTTGTTTATAAATTTCTTAATATCCATTTAATGATACAGCACTCTAACAAATATGGACTAATATAATTTTATTGGACTAATAAACTGTAATTGAGTCACCAGATATTTTTCATTATAAATATTTTATTTATTCATGTATATATTTTTGATTTATATTTATCTTTTATTCATTTTGCATAAACTGATTATATTAATCGTCTGATTAATTTTTAATTCTGAAAATTAAAATTATTTTTATAAAATTTCCAAAATTAATATTTTTTTGCAGAAACTTACTCCATAAATAAACACAATTTAAGAATTTTTAGTTTAAGTACAAATAAATAAAGTACCAATTTTATAAAATAAAAGTAACTTATTTTTATAATTGCGTGAGATCCTTAATAAATTTTTATAAAAAAATTTTAAAAATAATTTTTTATTTCAAATAAACTTAAATTAATTGAGGTAATTAATTCACGGAATACTCCAAAATGATTAAATAATTTATTAAAATTTTAAAATAAAACAGAACAGTTTCAAATAAATTATATCACCTGCTAATTTTCTGAAAATTTTTTTCCAAATTAATTAGTATAAAATGAAAGAAAATTTTGTTTAAAAATTATTTTAATTAAAATAAATTTTAATTAAATTGTTATTTTAATTTTAAAGAAAATATTTTCAAACAAAAATTTTAAAAAAATGAGTGATCAACTAAAGCAGCAAACGGTTTGTTGTTGTTTTATATTATAATAATTTGGGGGTATATGTAAGTATTCTGTAGTGATTAATAAAATGGAATAAACATTTATTTTAGAGTTTGATACCGACCCTAATGTCTAACAAAGTAATAAAGCTGGCTTATTGTTTGATTTTAGATAATTTTCTTTTGAAAATAAGAAAATTCCAAGTTAAGATTTCAAAAATTTCAAGCAATTTCGGATACCAGTCCCGGCAATTTGAAAATGTTGAACTCTAGAATACTTATATTTTTATTATTCAGAAGTTCTAATCCATTTTTAAAATTTAAAAAATTTTTTTAAGTTGTATGATATTTATGGAGAAGTAGGACTTCCTATAGAATTGGTTACATTAAATGTTTTAAGAACAGTAATTTCATTAATCGGCATTTTGTTTAATTCTTCTTTGGTTTTTGTTACTGCAAAGACTAAGTCTGTTTAGCTTAATTTAATTATTTGTTTATTTACAATTAAAAAAATAAATTCTAAATTTATGATTCAGAAATGTACCAAAAAGTTTTCGTACCACCCTTACTTCGTCTACCCTATTTTCCCCACTCCAAAGAAAATTGAAATATTTAATTAAACATAAAATACTCGAACCAAATTATTTAATCTAATTTTTTCAATTTGTAAATTTGAGTGTATAATAAATATACATATTGAATTATTATAAAATATTTAAAAAATTCTAATTCTGTTAAAAATTTTTCAAAAATTTTGTTTAAAGAGCTTTAAATTCTCCATGCCATTTACTGATAGCTTTTGATTGTCTAGTCTCTGCCTGGTATCAATTAGCTAGTTTTGTTTCCATCACAGTTTTGTTTGGCCCTGGTCATCAATTTATTCCAATACGTCCCTGTTGTCTACAAATTCTTCCCCCTTTCCAATTTGGATTTATAGCATCAATTTCAGCTATGTATTTAATATCTTTAGATCGACTAATGAGTATTGTTTTTCCAATATGGTTTGTATACAATAATCTTTTAAATAGATGATTTTTATTTAAAGGTATAGCCAAAGAGAAATTAAAAAGAGATATTATATGCTTCCAATGCTTATTTCAACATTGATATGCCCAGCAATAATTACTTATGCGCAATATCAAGTTGTTTATACTGTTCCGGAATCTACGTAATTATACATTTTATTAACTAGAGATAATTTACGATATTTATGCGGGGAGGATTGCAATAATCTGAAATATTCAATTTGATTTGCCTTTTGGAAAGCCTGTCAGACTACTAAAAGCAGGGGCTTAAAATTTCAAGTTCCTATTCGGCGGGAAGAGACCTCCAAGGGAAAAGTCAATAATTCCCCACAGATTTTTACCAACATATTTACTTTCAAAAGTCCCCAGATTCCCATCTAGGCCAACAACCTTGTTAATTTTATATTTCAATATTCTTTAAATATTAAAATTTAAGTCAAGTGATTTGTGTCTCGCATGAATGTTCTTGGGGATGGGCTGCTGATTTAATCTATGTAATATTCGTTTCATTCTATGTACTTACTTTGGCTAACTATATAATTATTTGGATTGTTCTGAAATGGCATTCTTGGAAAAGTGTTAATCAAAATTTAGGTAAAAATTATTTAATTATTCTTTCCTTCCACTAAACTATTTTCTCTCCATTTTTGGAATACTTATATTTAATTCAAGTATATACTAGGTATAGTAATATATTCAGATTTCTTCTTACCTTTCTCAACTCAAAAATTTAAAATTGACAGTCTAAAAATAAATATTCACAGATGTTTTAGTAAATTATTTTAATTAAAATTCAGCTTCCTTTATAAATAAATAAAACGGAAATAGTTATTTTAATTGACTGAATTAATTAAAATATATTTAAATTTTCTTTTTCGAATAATTAAATACATATTAAATTTAATTTTTCAGCTCCATCATATGACTGGACACGCCGAATATTAAAAACTTTATCAATAATTCTTTTATTAAATATAATTGGGTTATCAATGAATTACACTACTAGAATAATTGTCCCTCGTCTTAATTTTAATCTTACACAAAAGACAATAACAATCCATGGGTTAAGCTGTATAACTTGTTTGGTTATGTCCTCAAATGCTCCTATATTGTTTACATTTAAGTAATATTTGATTTTTTTAAATTTATTTTTTTCGTTAATTTCAGTCAAGAATACAAAAAAGCATTTTTGTCTACCTTCAAATTTAAAGCTAATGTCAAAACAACAAAAGTTAGCCCTGTCAACAGTCTAAATAACATAAAATTAATGCAAAATAATAATACAAATTTAAAATTAACTCCTATTAATTAATTATTTTGATTTTATTAATAATTTTTATTGTAAATATAAATTTAATAAAAAAATTTTAACAATTAATTTTAGAAAAAAAATTTCTGTTTTAAAAATTCTAGCTAAAAATATCATTAAAAAATACAAAGCTGGCGGGTTTTAAAAATTCTATAACAAAAAAAATTTTAAATGAAACATGAAACACCTAAAATAATTTATCAGAAAATCATACTAAATAAGGAATTTTTAGTGGAACATTAAACTCTAGACGGAATGAATTATTTTTATTTAATCAAAATAATTTTAATTTTCTCTATACACGCAGTTTTTATTCAAATCTTTTTATATTCACAAAATATCATTAACACATTTAACGAACTTGAGGAATGATCTGTATATAATGGTTAAACATAATCCCTTCTTTAATTTCGCCCTGGGAGCGGATGGAAAAATTTTTTTGCAAAAAAATCTATCAAATCTCCGACTTTCGGGGAGACGCTGAAAAACACTATTCACAACTAAAGGAAAATTAACATAAAATTTTTGTCAAAAATGATAGAATTATTTTTTAAATTTTGTTAAGCAGTAATACTTAAAATCTTGGAAATAAAAATCTCACAAAATTACAAGAAATTAAATTTTTTTAATCAAAATTTTAAATTTGCTATTAAAATACAACCCAAAAATTCAAATGAAGCACATCATAATGCCGTTACTTTTTTTTGTTGGCACAACGAGAGACTTGCAAACATCCCAAACTTGGTCTCGGTCGGTCTAATCAAAAAATATCGATAAAATTCTTTCTCTCGACATTATTATATTGCCCTTGATAGTAACCCCGGTAAAACAGTGGTAAAGCAGCTGCATTTGTGTGAGCAAGGCCGAGCGATCACTGTCAGCGCTGTCATAGGTTCAGTCCTGCCCGCTGGCTAAACTCTCAATTTAACCGAAAAAATAAAAACTTTAAATTTTAGAGCCGTTGTGAATTTATCATAATTTAATTAGAATTAATTTATGTTTGCGAACTTCCGCATTTTAAGATTTTTAATCTTTCTCGGGTTCTGTTTTATAAATTTAGTTTCAATACACCTTTAGTTTCTCGAAATATAAGAGCAGATGTTTAGCTCAACTTTTTTCTTGACTAAAAAGATTGGTGAATTAATAAAAATTAATTAACATTTATTATTTGCGTGACAGATTTTTTATTTCTGTACCCATTTAGATATCTAAATTTAGATAAATAAAAATAATTTTCTTTATTTAATTTTTTTTCCAAATAAACTTTGGCATTTATTTTATTTAAAAAATTCATAAAAAAAATTCCGAAATTGCTACAATATTTTTTTAGAATTAAATAAAAATTTAAATAAAGTAACTACAAACATCTGGAAATCTTTTCATTTTCTGA